TTTTTTGTTTAGTGGCCTGCATCTATATTCCAAAAAGGCATGCTCCCTTTAAAAATTGACATAATGATCAGATTATTTTTAACAAAAGTTATATTTTGGAGTTATATTAAGGAATGACCCTTTTCAGTTATGTGTCTGTATATTTGCAAGCTTTGCTGTTCAGTTACCTATTTACAGTTAGAAAGTTTTTTAAAGCATTGGCAATGACATGATTGATAGTGTTCAAGCTGGGATTTTGTCTATGTTGATTCAGTTATTTGAATCCTGTAATTCTATAATGTCAATTTGCCTCTATGTCTACAAAGGTGTTTGTTCAACAGAATAGCCCTTGCAAACAGACTGAACTCTTATTAGTGGCCCGCATCTTTATTCCAGTGGTTCAGTACATGAGTTAGCTGTATCCTCACAGATGAAATCGTGCTTTGCTGTGATCTAGACTGCATTGTAATTGTTCTGGTGTAGAACCCTTATTTTTCTGTATTCTTTTTCAAAAGCAATTTCCTTAATTTGCCGTTTGACCCAGTTTGATTCCAGTTAACATGGCCAAGTTTACGTGTGTAAATGGGTCATGAGATATACCAACAATGATTACATGCTGTAGATATTGAGCAGATTAAACAGAAAATTTTAAAATTTAAAGCCGTGCAGATGTTGAAACTGCATTGTTTTTTAAAACACAATTGTCTAGTAAATTTTTGAAAACAACTACAAAATTTAGAGTCAAGTTCTGTTGTAAAGAACAATTTGTTGAATAAATAATTTTTATCTCAATAGGAAGTGCAGTGTGCTGTCTCAACACACTAGAGCTGCTGCTCCAACTTCGGTCAGTCATCTGAATAAGTCTCGAATAAGGTCTTACAATAAGATTTCTAAGAGTGCATTCCCAGAGATTTAGATCGATCCATCTGGATCGACCTAACTCCCTGGGGGTTCACGCTAAATTGCTATCAGCCGAGCGCGCACGGCAGTTTATTACCCCCTGACAGCTTTTAGTAGACGGGACAGACATTTAAGCTGGTTAAGGTGGGTAATAGGGTTAACTACGCTTAAAATCATGTTTTTGAGTTTTTTGTGTGTTTCTTTTAATCAAAAAGTATCTAACGTTGGATATAATAATTTTTTTGAATTTGCACCGCAAAATGTGTCTTTTGATGAGTTTTTTAACCGGCACGCGCCCCAGTCAGGCTGACAACTCTGTTGCTAAGGGCCGTTGCCATGAGGGGGGCGGAGCATAGTTAATGAGTTATAAGCCGATTACGTGTGCGGTGATAGGTCATAAGTCTTACATTAGCTAAGCAGTGAAGAAGTCGAGTACGCTATGGGGAAGAGAAAAGTTTGTGTTAAAAGTCCATTTCCAGAGGAAAGAAAGAAAATTTTTAGAGTAGAAAATTGGAGAGGAAAATTGGTATTTGTTCAGTAGGATGACGAGGGAGAGAATCTACCTGGAGTGAGTGCTCGTAAGATTTTGAAGGACTTTGAACAGCCCTCGAAGTCTTCTGACAGTGATCGTGAGGAAGAAACAGTAGCTACTGGGTACAGGCTTTGGCACAGTGGACAGTTGTTAGAAAGTGCCTACAAGTCGTGTGTTTGTCGTGTGTGTGGCGGCGACGTTGTGTTGGTCAAAAGACAGTTACAGCCATTGGCGCATGTACAGCTCAGATAAAAGCATCATGAAATTTTTTATATTATTCGTCTTTCTTTTTTTCTTTATGTATACCTAATAAATAGGTGAAAGAGTAAATCGAATCGTCTAAATTAATTGAGAAAAGTATTTGTACGAAAAATTTATAACTAAAAGAAAAAAAAGCTAGAAACGATAGTTTTAGCCTAGCTCTTAATTTTGGCAATATATATCGGGGAGCGTATCTGCGACACGTTACGAAACTGGAAATATTTGTTGGACGCCGTTTGTAGAAGGTAAAAACTAATGTTGACAAAATATAATTTTATTCTCCAATAAATGAAATCAAGGAGCTTTAGAGACACGCAAAAAATGTGAATGTGAATGGCCAAACGAGAGAAATCCAAGAAAGGGTTGACAGCATGATAAAAAAAAATAACAATGAAAATAAAAACGCATGTTAACTTGCATTTTGCGATGTTTGGAGAAAAACTATGTCAAAATCACAGATCAAGCGGGAAGAAAGAGTTCAAAATGTACCCAAAATAAAAATCACAAAAAGACTTCTTGAAAAAATTAATACCCCCCCCCTACCCCCGAGTTCACAGTTACCAGGATAATCAGTTAAGAACTACTGTCCCCAGTTTTATCTGATCACTTTGCCGATAACAGAAAAGGAATCTCTCAGGTAAAATTACTCTATTGCCGAGGGAGACCCATTGAAACGTTCAAATGCAACTTCACACCTCTTAATTGCGGTTAAACATAATCGCCTTTGTTAGCGCTTCCTTCTACATATCCTTGACATCCTACTGGACATCACTAGGCTAGGGCCCACTCCAGAGCTGTCAATCAAAATGGCGGCACGCTTACAAGCCTAACGAGTGGTTGGAAAATGTAACAAAAGCACGATTTTCTGCCCTTTCAAAGCACCCAAACAAAATATTTTTAGATGACAATGAGCAATGGTTCCATCTGATCGTATAACCGATAACAGGTAAATTTGCCAGCTAAGCATTTGACTAATAAGCTCTGTTAACCAACCTGTGAACGTTTTTGGCTGTTTTAACAGCTTTCTATATTGACGAGATAAGTGAATCGCTGCCAAGTATATCTCACTATCTGAGCAACTGATCGTTACAAAAGTTGCACCTATTGTTGTTGGGAATGTGGACTACAGCATGATGTCAGGGGTTTAAGAGGAAATTGTTTGTTTGAAAGTCATTGTCTTTTGAAGTGAATAACCCATTGAAATATGGGGTAATTTAACGTAAAAGATGATAAAATCAAAAGTAAATAGTTTAAGACAATTCCCTGGTACCGCACTGAAGTGTTTTCACCCAACTTTATGAGGCCTTTTGAATCACTTGAATAGCTGTCTTGGTTATAGAGAAAATCCCAATTCCGAAAACGGCATTTTTCCCCTAAAATCCGTTGGACACTGTACTTAATCTCCGTCTTTAATTGGCCTTTTGGGAAGTTTGTTTTAATTTTTTATAAAAACTTATAAGCCCAGGGCTTTGTTTCTATGCTTTTGGTCCTTTTACTATTAGCCACCTTAAGCTGACACCAATCTAGTGAGACTCCCCAGGGGGATAGAGATCTAAATAACTATGGAAATGGGGTCTATGAGAGAGTGAATGCAGGGGCATTTCATGAAATTAAATGCTTATCACAAGCCAATGATTTTCTAGCTGTTTCTATCCAGTTAATTTGAAATCTCACCAATCCTTAAGGACTAATAATACTTGGGACCAAGGCCCCATTCAGAACAGATGATCCGAGTACTAACTGATCCGCAAACTAAATATGGCCGACCACACTTCAAAAGAGAGAGCACTGATTTCAGATGTTCTCCCTGCCTTCACACACGCCATTAAACAGATATAATCTCGGCTCCGTGGTTTAATTGCTAGGCCCCTGCTGTGGCGGCACGTGGTTGGCCATATTTAGCCGGCGGATTAGGCTTCATTCACATGCAATGTCTATTTTCTAAATTCTATTTTCTATTTGCGGTTTGTCTTATGATCACGGTCTGTGCCCTGAATATCCCGCGGCGTAATTACTGGTAGCGCGA